AAGTAAGCAATCACAAAAAGTAGTCTACATCTCCCTATAGCAATAATAATAAAAGTAAACTATATACCTCAGTTCACCATTATGTTACCATTGTCAGCTGTTCGGAATCGCACCAAATACACTTAAACAAAACATTTATTTTTCAAATTTATGATTGCAAGTTTGATTTTGGGTAACAGATATCAAGTTCACTGAATTATAGACATAATGAAATGAGTGTTTGATTGATTTGATGCAACACAATTTTATTAAAGATATCATATTTAGCGTATTTTTCTGAAATAAGACTGTTCACCTGAGAAGTAAAACGCTTTAGGCTAGCTTATCCATAGGGTAAAATTGACTAGAATTTTGATGGTACTGAAGACCATGAATACTTTGATTGTAAATTTTTCCCTGCAATTCAAAATATTATCGAGTGCACAGAATCAGGAATCGATAAATGGAGACGACGTTGATTAGTTTTATTTTGATCTGGTTTTTAGTTAGCACAAAGTTAATGTTAGTAATCTCTGACTTCCAATGAGAAGAAATTAAAGCAGGTGAGATTCAGAAGATTCGGTTGGACTAAGTAAATGTAGGCCTACATTAAAGAAATATAACTAATTCATACAGATTTTAAATTTTAGAAGATGGGAAGGAACTCACGATATCTGGAGACAATTTCTGTCGTAATTCGATTGTCACAAACCAGTCAGTACTAGACTGTTTTGAAACTCATCAACCACCTCACTTCAAGATTATGAAGTCTTACCTCATTTTCATTCAGTTACTAAACTGGAGTTTAATGTCTTACGCTATCCGTTTTCTATCCAGTTAAGTAAAAGAGTATTATCAATGAATCATCATTCTCAACTCGAGCTTCGTTAACGGTAGTGTCAACTGAAGATATTTGTCTTCGAATCCATCACTAAACACCAGTTAATATCGATACTTTTAGATATCTAGTTAGAAACAGCTTACTTGTCACTAAATTTAAAGAATTATATTTTGTGGCTGTGGAAATTTACATTATTCATTGAGGAAGCTTCACACTAAATAAGGACAAAAACTCTTATCAATGACCCTTTGGAAACCGTCAAGTTCCCCATTAAAATGAACTCAGTTTTCATCACAATGCAGCATACACAAGTAACTTACTGGTTTACGTTTTTGTGTACTATGTTACAACGGATTTTCCATCAATATAAAGAATCATTGAATCAATTTCTAGTCAGCACTCTGTGCAGTCGTATTGCATAAGTCACTTCAAAGCTTGAAAACTATTGCATTCTTATCATATCCGGATAGTGACATGTTGGAAGGTATTTCATTGTGGTTTCTCAGTGCAATAATATTAATGATGATACCCATAATAATAGAATTCAGATATTTGGTTTAGACACTGGTTCAATTGTGTTTTCTACAGATTAGCACTGACCTTTCAACTAGTTTCACTTCACAAACTCAGTATATTTAATAAGGCTAACTTGCAAGTACACCTTTCAGATGATCCTTTCAGGAACTTTAATCTGAATGCTTTATTTCTTCTCTTCCAGGAAATTTTGTCGTTATCATTTGCATAAGAATGTTAGACGATGGTAACATGCTCGTGTTTAGTTCTTTTATGCTTAGCTAAAATACTAGTAATAACTTCATCAGTTGACCCTGTGTGTATAGCAGTTGTCAACCATTAGATCTTGGTTAAAAGTTGAATGATTAAAAACGACCATAAAATTTTTTCAAAAGAATGGTTACTGAACAAAGAATATTCTTTTCGATAACCCCTTCTTCATCAGGTTCTATAGTTATATAGATATAATTGTAAATGAATTAGTGTTACTGACAACATCAAGGGTTAAATAACATAGGGTCAATAATAGTATCAATGGATCACAGTTCGCTAGCATCAACATAACAATACACTGAATATCAGAAAAATTAGGAGAGAGAGTGAGTGATACAAATCCATGAATTTATAGTCTCCACTGAAGATTAGACCAGTAGTAGTGGCTGGACATGCTTTCTTTGCACAAACTACACTGATTGTTTCACGTGAATCGCGATAACCTTTGTTGGTAAACTATAAGTCATGTTTCCTACATGACCGACAGTGATTCCTCGATTGAGAGATGAAGTACCTAGACTAGCCACTTCTAACCATATCTAACAATTCAGCTGCGCTTGTGGAGCGAGTTATGTTGGTTGCTGCTCTAGAAACTTGATTTTTCGTGCTCGGAAACACCTACTAGTGTGGCTAAGTAAAGGTTTAATAAAACCATCAACAGTTCAACATTAGACCATCTGGTCCAAACTGGCCACATAGCCAGCACTGAAGAATCCTTCTCTATCATAAATAAGTTGTCAGAAGCATCCAGGTGCCACATACTCCAAACATCAGAGGTTATCGCGATTCACGAGAAACAGTCAGTGTAGTTTGTGCAAAGAAAGCATGTCCAGCCACTACTACTGGTCTAATCTTCAGTGGAGACTATAAATTCATGGATTTGTATCACTCACTCTCTCTCCTAATTTTTCTGATATTCAGTGTATTGTTATGTTGATGCTAGCGAACTGTGATCCATTGATACTATTATTGACCCTATGTTATTTAACCCTTGATGTTGTCAGTAACACTAATTCATTTACAATTATATCTATATAACTATAGAACCTGATGAAGAAGGGGTTATCGAAAAGAATATTCTTTGTTCAGTAACCATTCTTTTGAAAAGTTGAATAGTCTAAACATCTGAACATTCTGTAACTTACTGTCTGTTACGAATCTAGTGTAACATGTCTTTTCAAGCATAGTCACTTTTAATATCATGGACAGACAAAAGTATAGACGACCAATTGATTATTTTCCCTGATAAGTTTGAATTACTTTGCTGACCCAACATAGCGATCATTTATTAAAATATTGATGAGATATATATAAATACAATTTTTATATAAAATTATTATGATTTTGGAATGCAGATGGCTAACTATGATCCTGCGTATGTGCGAATTGAATTCTTGAGTCATTTGTTGACGAGATGTTCGTGGAGAGAATAAGCAGGAAGTCTTTTAAACAAATTAGTAACTCGAATTTAGCAATAATCTGGAATGCGATTAGTCCAGGACCAGTGCACCATCCAGTAATTACTATTTGATCTTGCATCGCAATAGTCATGCATAGACACACACCATACAAAAACACACGTTTTTACTGCTAAGTTGATGCCAAAATATATTACTAAAGGTCACGCTTGGCTGGGAAACAAATATGTTTAGCTATCGATTTTGGCCTCTCACTTATTTGATGAAATAAACAAAAAAGATATGTCTCCAGTTTATTTCAACAGTCGGGTAACTATTGGAAACCGTAGTACTTTAAACATTATGAGACATTCAGCTTGAGGAATTTAGTGAGAAAAATCTTTCTGCTTACAGTCTTTTCATACATCAATAATATAATGCTTCGTGTATGAAAATCGCTTCTAGGTATACCATTCCATTGGTTAACATCATGAAGCGATGAAGTTTTTTATGAGTCTAGAATTGCAGTGCAGAAAGAGCAGATCTTTTGCTTAATGCCACTTAATTACACTGATAATGTAGTTAATTAATTTGCACAGAAATAATTGTCAGTTGTACAGATTAAAACTGGGACAGTGTATGTAGTGAACATTTATTTGTACTTTTACCTTGTAATGCGTGTAAAAGATAGGTCAAGTGTATGCTGAGAAAGGCTAGATATGCATTTTTTGGGAATATACCATTAACCTTCATTTATTTGTAATAATAAAAGTACCACTATTAATTGGTGTTAAATTATCAGAACTAATGGACAGGAAATTCTGAAACTGGATTTGCTGCTTATTAGTATTCAACATGACCGCGTCTCTTTTTGGAATGTGGTTAATATTAATATGATTAAATTCAATCAATAAAACTAATAATGACAGTAGGATATATAATACCACTAAATTGCATATATCAAGTTATTCTGAGGGAGTATAGTTGACTTACGAAACACACCAATTTATAAGTTGAGTGAATTCAAAGGAATGATAGCATACCTGCTTAGAAATATTTCAGAATGCTGACTTTCTTTTTCCCATAAATTCAATTAACTGTTTGAAATTAGACCAAGAAAAGTAATTAGCTTAACTGTCATCAGCATATACAGTAATGCATTCATCAGCATGGCTTTAGAGGCTGATTGGAATAAGCTAGTTTCTGAATAAGAACTCAGGCTTACAATGAAGATGTTGATAACCGAGGTCAGAACTGAGGTATGGTTGTACCTAACTTGTGTAATATTTGAGCTAACATGTATAGTAAAGCTAGAAATACAGTGTAGTTAACAGTTACAAGCTTTTTGTATTTTTAACTGAAAGTTACAATAAACACCAATTTGATGGATGAACTGAAATGAAAGTTGCTTATTGGTGTGTGATCCTCAGTTAAGTGTATTTGGTAGAAACAACTCGAAATTACTAAAAATAACAACTGATATAGTCCACTGTGGCATCTTACGAACCTAGTTGACAAACCTTTCTAGTCTGAAACGAGAGGTTCTACTTTTCACTCTTAGTAACAGTTATGGTTTCCCGAAAACGCCCTATATCAGGTCAGTGACAAGTAAAATTGTGTTGAACCCCGTCTCTCACCAGTCACCTGTTATGCCATAACCACGGAGAACTTAATATTACTATAAAATGAATGTAGAAATTTGCTGACTGATGACAAACAGACTGTATGGTAGAGTAGAGGGCATAAAAAATATTAACAGATTACTAAACATACTTATTCAGTATATGCTAATGAATGAAAACTTGCTTTAATGTATATTTGAGTTGTCAAAAGTGCGGTTCAAAAGGAGATGAAACCAACATATTCGCACTAATTCACACACACTACAAATGTATATACCTTCTAGATGACAGAAAACTGATGCGCAAACGTAAAATAAAAGTTTAAATACGAATAAATGTGACTACAAATGCGCTATGCAATCCATTTTCACTTACCTACCGGAAACTTTCTTCCAATATCTGGACTAACACTGACAGATCTAAACATTTCTGAATTATACTTCTGTACCCCCGAATCACACTGATTTGACGCATTTGTATTTTGTTTCAGTGTCTGAGGTTGTTCATGTCGCATAGCCTGATAATAACCCTGATGTGGGTTGTTAGATGATTGGTGATTTTGACAATAGTTTAAATGGTTGTCATTAGTAGTATTAATATGATTACCACTGTTATTGTAACCATTACCGCTAAAAATACTGCTACTCGCACTACCAACACGTGCATGGTAGTCATCATTTGCACACTGAGCTTGTATCAATGAAGATAAACAATCTTCATCAGTCGGTAGTGAGCTCAGTGACAGCGAATTTCTTTTATACGAACTTAAAGGATTATTTGAGAGGTAAGAGTTGTACTTTGAAATATTTGGAGTTTCAATCGGTTTCTTATGAATTATACCTGATGTTCCTAGTGGATGGGAGAGATATGAATCTTTTTCCTTTGCACCACCTGTTGTGGTTGCTGCTGTCATCGTACTGTCGGCATTATAGGACAGACGATGTTCATGATGACGCATATGTGGTCTGTATTTTTGAAATGCTGAATGCAAGATTTGTGGCCGACGCATTATATAGTAAGTTTTAGAGTAGTTCTCGTCTTCGTCATCTTGTTGCTGTAGTCGTCTTAAGAATCCTTCGCCAGCTTCACCACCATCAAGTCTGGTATAAAATGAAGGCTTTGGAGTGGTTGGTGTTGGTGGTAAATACTCATTTCTGCCCAAGGATTTGCTTATTTTGAAACCATTGGTATTATTACCATTGTTATCTAGTATTGATGTTGGCGGTGGACTGTGGATTCCATATTCTCCTGCAGTTGTTGTCGTTATGGATGCCGGTGTTTGTGTTCCTGTTCCTATCCTAGAGGTTGCTGAACGGTACGAATTGTTCGAAATTATAGAATCTATATATTTTGATTTCGATGTTGAAGATTCATTATTGTTATTATTTGCATTTTGAAATAATTCACTAGATAAGAGATTTTGATTTGATATAACTGACCATAATGGCCGATAATTTACAAGAGGTCGATATGGTGACGTAGAGGAACTGCGTTTCAACAGTGCATTGTAATTATTTGCTGAAGAGAGTATCGGTGAATACTTGTTATTAGGAGCACAAGTAGTACAGTTAGTACTATAAACACTGTCTGCTGCACATAATTCATTACCGTTATAAATTGAAGAATTTATTGGTAATAAAGAATCTTGTTTCGTCATTTGTACAGGTCTCACCGAAGTCATTTTAATATTTGCTTCACTGTCTCTTTCTGGTAGTGAATTCAGACTATTGCTGTTATTCATATTAAAATTTCTACCAAAATTATTTTGGCTGTAGTTACTGGATGTATAATTGAATTGCGTATTCTTCAAAGAATAATCACCGCCTGTCGACGGTGATGGTATTGACGATGATGCTATGGTATTTGGAGAAAATGAATGGTTGTGTGACGTGAAATAACTGAATGTTTCAGGTTTACAATCCTCATTCAGATTATTTTTATAAGTAGTGTCATTGTTGTCAGTACTGTTGTTATCATCATCATTCCCATTCATATTTGATTTAAGATTTTGTGCTAGTGATTTAATAACAGCTGAAATCCCCGGTTGTGTTCGACGATTTACAGAAAGTTGCACTTCTTCATATCTACTTGCCCTCCGATTATTATAACCCGACTCATTATTGTTACTTTTATTGTTATTATTACCATTTTGATCATAAATATGTGATGTACTTGAAGTAACCCCGGAAGGTTTCCAATAATCCGATGTATTTGAATTCATGGGGTAAGAGGATAATACATTATCCGAATTGAGTTTATTTGTATCCCATCTATTTCTTTGTATTGGCTGAAAAGATGTCATAGAGCCTAGATTTCTAGGCATAACTCTTGGGGTTGACAGAGGAGGGTTGACACCTGAGTAGAGGGATGAGAGTGTCAGTGCAGAGCTAACAGGATTTGTGGTGTTATTATTACCAGATGAATACATATGGAGTGTGATTTCAGACGATTGCAGCTAGTATAAGTGAAAAATCATCAGCCTCAAAGAAAAAGTCTGTGAATTGTTTCATAATGAATGTAATTCACTAGTGATCTGCATGGTTTACCATTGGACACTGTCAGTATTTATCATTTTTCTGCTTCAACAAATCTGAAAGCCTATGACAAATAAGTATGATGTTTGCAAAAGTATTTGAACAAATCAAATTATACTGAAGAGTGACTGATATGTGATTGGTTAATAACTGAAACCAATAAAACTGCTACCTTGGCTGTGAAAATTGAAAAACTGATGCGAATGACAGCATAGACGATATTCAGTTCAAATAGCTTCACATACTGATTCTTTTTTAAATGAATGAAAGATTCTGTAGTTAATTCTTAAAAAACAGGACTCCCATACACACAGAGCAAATGTGTTATCAAAATCTCCATTCATTCATTTGTCGGAGATCCATTAAACAATAATAATAATAATAATAATAATAATAATCTACTTTATTCCAGAAACAGAATGGAATTCTCAGCAGAAATCTAGTGAAAGTTAGGGCTTTCCATTGACAATATGAAGCCCCTGTAATTAAACATAATTAAAATTGATCAATTTTCACTCATATAAACAGAAAATTGTTTAGTGTGTACTGAATCCCAGCGAAATTCCTACCACCAATGATCCTAGTTTGTGCACTACTTCTTTCAAACTCACTTTGATTCAAAGAGTCAAGTAAAGAGGCCCACTGATGGAGGTATCTGGTATATAATAAGAGTTTCTTATGGTACTAAGTTTTCACTACATACAGATTTTCATTCATTTTTGTGAAATAGAATTGGATATTGAACAAAACTTCACATGTTCTACATTCAGATCTCTGACTTGTTCTTAATACTCGTTCATAGTTTTAGTTATGGATAAGAAAATGAAAACTTTTCATTAGGCTTCAAAAGGAAATTCGTCTTTTTGCGTACTGATTACTTTACATGCTAGGATGCTTAATAGCTAGCTTTAAATGCTTACAGAATAACAACAGCTGGTTATATTCATCGCTTCTTCATCATAATACTAATCACAGTGAAATAGTGTAAAACATAATTTTTGCCTCCTTCGTTCCGTCCCCTTTTTCAGTCTTGTCTCCATCCAGTTTTTCCTCCAAATTAAAACACAATTGGCTTACATTTACTGTGATTACTAATGAAACGCCTAAATTGTTCTTGGTATAATATTCATCTGACACATTAATCAACCATATTGTTATATTTTAAAGTGCCAAGCAACTATATAGTGTTATTTTAACTTAATTAATCGTAGCTCACTTTCTAAAGCCTTCCAAGAGGCTGACTCAAAGTTGATTGAAAATAGAGCTTATTAGCACTTCGCCTTCCTTCATACGTAAATACTTCATAAAGGGTCAACTAAGTATATAGAGACCATTCCTATGTTTTTCCAATGTACTTGCTACAGCGAATTCGCATCATTCTATAAATGTCTGACTGACTGGTTTCAACGTAGAACTTTGCACAGATGTGCAGCAGTTCCAGTTGCCACACTCCCTCCATGTGGCACACAAAAAGCAAGAGAAGAGAGTAAGGCAAGAATCAAAAGAGAGATAATAAATAGAAATATTAGGCAAAGAGACTAGTAATATGGAAGAACAATAGAATTTTATTGGATATTATAAATCACAAAGAGTGAATGCATCTGCGCCACTGAGAACAATTTTGAGCCATATCACCGAATGTCCCCCTGATTTCTACTATCCCGAAGACCCCAAACAGGAAGTCTACATCTTCCTACGTGGCTGGCTTAAACTAACTGTTTTAGATTTCACTGACTAATGCCATGTTTTGGTTTGATCATCACCAGCTAACTATTTTCCAACCTGATCCATTCTATGTCAGGTAACATTGCCCATTGTCGAGGAAGGCGATCGATGGCTAGCGATGCATACTTAACACATTTCCTAACTATCTCAATCGGTGTAACTTCACAGCCCCACAGATTGATTTCCCCTCGCACCTACCTAGCAGTCGACGCCTAACCTCAACATTACTAAATTTATTATTCCCTCTGACATGGGAGACACAACGCAGACACTTATGATCAAAGACAGCAAGAACTTACTATGCAGCTAAACTTATCTTCATAGTGAAAACAAGAACTATGCTGTCCTGTAAACCCTCAGAGTATCCAAACGATAGTGTGTGGTACATAACACTGCGTTTATCAATTTACACGTATGTGTGGACACACGTACATAGGGAGGACCTATCGGTCTCTGCAGGTTAGGGCTACCGAATACATTTCAAAGTGGCTGCAACAACAAATAAAATTGCCAGACACAACTGATCCCGGAAATGCATGTCCAATATCATCTACAGAGAAGAACATTATAGAGACGGTTCATAAAGTTGACTTCAACAATGCCTTTAAGCCCATTTATAAAACAAGGTTGGGTCACATACTCAAATTCGTTGAAGCCTTAGCCATAAAAAGAATTAAATCTGTCTTATGTGTCCAAAATTTATTTGTTATTACTTTAAACCTGCCTTGGTAATCCAATTTAGAACCAAGGATCAACTTAATTCATAATATTTTCAACCCTTCTTCGGTTTGTTTTTTTTTCTTATCTTTCTTACCTATAACTTTGCATCATCTCCCTACCCATTATTTGTGACCTTGACATGTACACAATCTGATCTGTATTGTAATTATTCATGCGTTCTTGCCTTCTATAAATCTGTGTATGACAAGTACGTGTGTGATCAGAATGTCCGAAATGTGTTGCGCAAGTACATGACACGTTTCAGATAAACTACGTCTTCTTATTGTGTTGACGAAATTCATAAAGGGAACTAATTACTTTAAATTTTAAAAGACAGCTAGCTCTTTCCTGTCTATACATGCGAATGAAGCAGTGCTTGTGCGCTTTTAGTAATCGTTTTGTATTGCATTAGAAAACACTAGTCACGAAGAAATACATGGTTACTGCTTTTTTCTTAAACATTTTTGTTTCGTTTGATCTTTTGGTTTTGTTTTTAAAGGATGACAAAATATCTGTGCTGTTCCAAATATAGATGTCTGAATCGGTTTTTTCAGTGTTTTATGACATCTATTTTTTTTTATCTCTTTTGTAGTACTTCTGTGAGATTTCTAAATCACCTTCTGACTTCCTTGTTAAACCTAGTTTCCAATTCTATTGCAGAGTGAATAAACTAGTACACAATTATAGCAAGTAGTAACTGAGATAGTATTCCGTTCACGCATTCTTGTTCCAGGAGGTTATTTTCAGTCATTTGATCGTTTCTTACTCTCATAGTGGTGATGTCTAAAGTAATTTAATGGTTCCAAAGATCATATCTTAGTTAAAATTTAGTGACGATTTTAGTATTACTGAACCACTCAGATGTGGGTGACAATTCATCGTAGGTAACAAAAGCATCACTAGTTTACTATACAAAAGTTGGTTGAAATACTGAACGCAACCGCTTTCTCCTTCCCTCAAAAATTCACCCCTAGAATATCAGAATCTCCCATTTAGTCAGGCATAATCTACCAACTACTTTAAGCTGCATAGTGTAACGTTGTCACTCATTACTTCAGACTCTCTGGTTTACAGTGACTTCCGGATCTTCGGTAAAACTGAAGTCTATTATTACAGTCTAAGGAAACGCCATGATAAGTGTCTTAGTCTCTAGAAGTGTGATAAAACGTGAGACGTGATCAATATAAGACGTCCGAAAAGCTCCATGGTTGTTCAAGTTGCAATACTTTATACGTGTACAGAAAATGAATGGGAATATCAAGGAAGATAGAGAAATGAAACTAAAATCATCGGTGAAGAGGTACAGGTAATACAAATTGTTATATTGTTTCAGATGGATACAATGTGTGAATGTTTTTGCGTCATAGTGACTGGTTCTTGTCCCCATCATTTTCAGGCAGTTTAAAAATGGAATTTCAATGTTTCGACATTGAGATCCTGGGATTCTGCTTTGTTATTATTTTCCCATAGTTCCCAAATTTTAAGAATTCAATCGGTACGTCTTATAAAGCATGCTTTTGCGTTTTAAACAAATTTTGTGAAAAATCAAACAGACAAAAAACAAAAGAAATTCTTTCTAGTATTCCTAACACTAATCCGATTGCATTTTTAACTCTCGTTATAGCAATGAAAAATATTCAGTTTATAAAACGAATCACATTAATCCCCTTATTGCAAAAATGAGATTTAATCTCATGTTAAATTTACAATTTCATGTGACAGAAATGAGAGTTAAGATAATTTTAAAAGTGTTTTGAGTTTAGTGTGAGACGAATACTTCACCAGGTTTTATTCCTACCTTTCTATAATTTACTTTAAATAGAGTGATATAGAGGTTTGGAGTAATTTGGAATTATGTGAAAGGATTATAAGTGGTCATCCAACGTCTGAGCTGATTCATGGGTGGTTTCATCGTCCTTAGCACCAGGGTAAATTTCACATTGTTGCCTATATAATTAACTAATTTTTTTTGGCAAGTAAAATTTAGTAGAATACATCATGGAGTATTAACTGATAATCACACTTAGATAAGCATCACTGGAGAAGTAAGACATGTCAGGAATAAGATGTCCATGCACACGAATTCTCTCTAAAATGAGCTAATTGACTCCAGCTAAAAAAACCACAATAACAGTGAGCTAATAGATAAAAAATGCTTAGTAGTTATTATGTTATTTTTTTTAAATGTTAATTTGTGCGTCGGTGGCACAGTGGTTAGGACTCTCGCCGACCATGCACATGGTTCGAGGTTCGACCCCCTGCCAACGACACCTGATATCTATGGTCGGCCTGCAAAATTCGGGTTACCGATATCCATACTGAAAACTCCATACTTGCACCAAAAATACAGTGTGGAATCAAGCTATAATCAAAACAAATTTAAAAATTAAAAAAATGTTGGACCGAAATGCAACGTCTGCGATACCCATTGTACACGAAGTGTCAAAGTTCGAGTCTCAGTAGGAGCGTCACCACTCTTTGGGGATGCAGAAACATCCAAATGATGAGTACCGAGTAGGATGAAATCTACCACATGAATTCCATTGCTAGACACCATCATCCAAAATTAACTTCAAGGTACTATGTTATATTTCTGATATGCAATCCTTAATAACTTTCTACATCGATCCCCGCCCCCATATATTTAGTAACTTACTGGGCTCTATGCAATCAGATATCGTCGATTCACTACTCACTGAACAGCCAAAACTCAGTTTATGAATTCAGAAATAATCTATTGTTGATCTTTGCTTATCACAATGCAAAAATTTAATTTTCTTTC